GTGTGTGTGTGTGTGTGTGTGTGTGTTTTGATGTGGTGCTCTGCAATAACAGGGGTGTGTGTGTGCCCACAGACATGTAACTTGTGTGGGTGTTGCAGGCACGTGAGCATTTGTTGTCATAGTAATGTGAGATGTGAAGGAAGCAGCCACGTCCTTTCACTTCACTTTCACTGAAGGTAAAGGGTAACATCTTTCAAGTAAAAAGCTCTGTTGGTTTCATCTCAAGAGATCCCAGTTTGTGTGTGAAGACGGAGGAAAAATGTAAAGTGACTCCTTCACTTTGAACACTATGTCACTCCAGCTTTGTATTTATAAATTAAAAGTGCAATCCTTTGACCATGGCTGGACAACAGAAAACAAGCCTAACAACAATAACTCTGACAATATCCTGGACCCATTACTGACAATAAATTGGTAGAGAAAACAGCGACTACAGAAAGGAGTGAACCATCAAATAAATTGGGAGTCTTGCTACACTCTGGAGACCAGAGGACCAATCCTACACCTGGCAATCATACTAGAAAATGATGCATAAATCAGACTTTATCAGTTTTTACATCTCTTTGTATGTTTGAGTCTCTCTGTGGTGGTTTTGAGCTTTGAGGTCAGCTTTAGTGTCTCTGTGGTTGTTTTGTTCGTCTTCTTTTAAACTTTGACGCACTTTTAACTTAAAAAAAAATCAGAGCAGTCATTTCAAATTTCTTAAGACGCTTTAGTTCTTAATGAATCTGGTTGCTGGTGGGGATGATTTCCAAAGAAGTGACACAACAACCCCCACATTCAATTAATGCACAATAACTGTCATTGTCCATATAGTTATAGCCACATATTTCTATATGGTTTCACTACACCAAAAGGTAAGACTATAGCTTTGATATTAACAACCTTTCTTATTATCAGAGGATGTGAAAGGTCTTTTCCTCCCAAACACAGGTCAACAATGAGCAGTGCATCACAGTCACTTTATGAATCAGGGAAAGTTGGGGTTTTTCGGTGGATCACAATCCAATTTGGTTTTGATCGTTAGCAGCAATTGACATCCTGACACATTTCCATTAATTACAGTGGCAGTCACCGACATCACGCTTCTCATCCATCCATCTTTTTATCTACTTCCTCTGCCGGCAGCTGTCAAAGAACTCTGTGTTCAGCTGGGTCACCCAGATGGGGCTGACTCTCTCTGCCTGTGTACACCCCTGATGAGGACCAGAATCGTCACCATCCCATGTGACTTGACTGCTGACATGAAATATGGGAATGACCTGATAGCATCAGATGGGAAGCGGACTCAGAAGGTCATAAACCTCAGTGTTTGCCTCTAATGTGAAGGAAGGACTACAGCACAAACATCACAATATAAAAACTGGGAGCAAAATTTTGTCTTCACAAACTGAAAGCACTCACAGTTACAGAAAAAACTAATAATAACTAATATATTACACTGTCTGAGACGCACATAAAGATGTTGATTTAGGGGCGTCGATGTAATGTGCATATATACCTCTGCATTTAGTCCACAGTTAGAGAAGCCCTAGCACTGAAAAGGGGTAACTGACCTGCTGCAAGCACACGCTGCAAGAAACAGTGAAATTATAGGATTTATTTTGGGGGGTTTATTAACATACACTGCTGCTACAAGTCAAGTGACATGTGAGCCGAGGTGGAGAGGATCCTGCTGAGCAGATATGTTAGACATCCCTCAAACACGATCCTCCTCACTCTGCTCCTTGTAAATGTTTAGTGACCTGCAACCCGAGCACAGGTGAGGCTGGAGCAGCATGTCAGAGGTCAGGGGGACAGCAGGTGAGGGGTCGTTCCAGCGTAAGCCGAGGTGAGTTTGAGTTTAGAGACGAGGGTGAACCAGGTAACATTTATTTACAGTGTGAGCCAGGATGGAAGTACGCATAGTGCAGGGAAGCACAGTGAAGAAGATCTTATCAGGGCATTTCATCCATAAACAACTCTCATTCTTTCACCCTTGCTGTGCACGATCCTCTCCCTGAAGCTGGCTCAGAACTGTGCACATTTCGCTCAGCTCATTTGTTTGTTCAAATGATAAAGACACAAACTGTGGACTTTTACATGATGTACATGTTACCTAAAAGATAAAATACACTACAGGCATTATAAGCTGGAAGTGTGCTATGACATGCGTGGGTGCTGGCATGCATCCGCGCCATGAAAATTCTTGGATGGCACTGGGAAGGTGCAGTGGTCCGTGAACCCTGGCGTCACAGGGACTGGAAAGTCAAAACATTTAAAAGCAAGCTGTGACATTTTATTCCCAAAATTTTCGTCCCTGCAGCTTCACTGGCTTCCTCCTGAGGAGGCGTGTCACTTGTTGAGTCATTTCCCAACCGTGAATGAATCTAAGTGGATCCAACGGATCCAGTGTTTGGCGTTCGGGCTCATGTTCTCATGACTTAACGGGAAAACTGAACCAGAACAACAAGTAATAAATGAATAAATAAACAGTGTGGCAAGCTGGGTTGGCGTTACACTACCTTAATGATGCTGCTCCGGCGAGGTGCCGCCTTCACCGACTCCAGCAGGATGGTATCAGTGTCCTGGCCGCCGCCGCCGCCGGGGAGGATGACACCGCTGCGCCGACCGCGGGGCGCTCTCTGTGGAATATAGTCGGGCGCTTCGTCGCTGCACAGCCCATCTCCACATCCATCACGCTCAGACATGTCGACGAGGATACGGAGGAGTTGATTTAAAAGTAATTTGAGAGGGAAAATTAATCAACTCGTCGGATCTGACCCGAATAAAGTTTGCCTCTGCTGTGCCTGGATGCCATTTAATGATGAAACGAGTCCTGTCTTCAGCACCGACAGCAGCAGCAGCTCTGTCCGCCTGGAGGAAACTAAGCACCCCGGTTTCCTTGATTGTGAGCAGAGTCTCTCAGTCGCTGAGCACAAATCCGCGCTGACTTCAGGCTGTTAGTCGGAGCTGATCTCCACAGTCCATGCCCGCTCCAATCAGAGCATCACATGCGCGCGCAGACACACTTGGATGAAAGCTGAACTGATGCGTCCCCCGGAGACGCGCAACAAGTCCTCTCCGTCTCCCGTCCGCCTCCTCTGCTGCTCGAACAGCGGGACTACATGGGAGCGCGCGTAAAGCTTCGGGGAGCGCCTTTTCTTTCTTCCTTTCTTTTTTTCTGCTGCTGGAGAGAAAATGTTGGAGGACACTTCAGAGTACAGCCTGCGTGGCTGCGCAGCTCCCCTGCCTTCCTCCCACTGCGCGAGGACGTCAAAGTGCGGAGAGGAGCAAACCTAACCCTCCTCGCAGCGCGTCGCTCTCACTGAAACAGCCGCTCCGGCTGTGCTGGCTGCACTCACACCAACAACAGCCCACTTTTGACGAGGACGCGGAACACAACTGACAGTCGCGCCGCCTCTCGCCCGCGAACCCCTCCCTTCACCGCTTCTACCCAGCTCCTCCCACACGCCGGCCAAAAAGCACGAATGACGCGCGGAGCAGCCAGTGCGCGCGGCGGCTGGGGAGATCCGAGCCACTCAGAGCCTCCGATAGGTGGACGACCGAGTTCACGGGACCGAGAGAGACTCTTAACACTTGGTGGGGAGGAGCTGACAGGACATTATGTGGGATAATGTGTTGGTTGTATTTCCCAGCTGAGCCTAAATTCAAACCATTTTATCCGCACAGAGTTAGCAAATCATGTCCGATGTGCTGAAATGGATCATATATTTGATTCTAATTAAGCTCAGCTTCTGGATTAGAGGAGGAACAGATTTTACGCATTCAGATTAGGCAGGTTATCAGTGTAAATGAATGCTTTTATCAAAATGTTGTTTCTGGTGTTTTTCTTTGACTTACCTCAAAACTAGATGCAAACAGAGCAAAAGAAAAATGATGTGCTGACTCTGACTATAGTCTGATGTTTTACTGGCAAAGAATGAATAATAAAAGTAAAATTTAGGTTCAGGTCTAATATGACGGGGGAAAGCCTTTATACCTAATGCTGTTATACATCCCAGGTTACACATATAAGTCCCAAATACAGTGGGGCAAAAAAGTATTTAGTCAGCCACCGATTGTGCAAGTTCCCCCACTTAAAATGATGACAGAGGTCAGTAATTTGCACCAGAGGT